GACAGTTTCTTCCAGGTGCTGAGGGAGCTGTCGTGCCACCACACTCTCAACAACCTTCGCAAGAAAGCGAAGGTTGGAGACAGGCCGGTAGTTGGCCAAAGCAGCCGGGTCCAGGGAGGGCTTCTTGAGGAGGGGCCTCACCACAGCCTCTTTCAAGGCAGCCGGCAAGAACCCCTCACTCAAAGAAGCGTTGACAATTTCAGTGTTGCACTGAAAAGTCAGACTTAATATTTTTTTTTTTCAAATTTGTCTGGTGCTGAAGGGGAATAAAATGATTTCCTGGGCTTTATTTCAGAAGTTTGTTTAGAGGCTGATTTAAAACTGTATTTGACAGAAAATTATGTTTCCTTAATACAGTTAAACAGAGTTAAGTTGGTAATTTGTTTACCGGGATAGAATCTTGCAACTTACAGCAATATATTAGAAGAGCATATGCTATACAATTGTACAAATGGCTATGTAATAGTGGGTTGTTTTTTGTTTTCTTTAAAAAGACACTCAAGTAGGAAAGTTTAAATCTAAAGTCACCCTGGAGTTGAACTTGACTCCTAGTGTTTCCTTTTTTCTCCAGTAAAATTCTTAGTAAATAAAGGGGTATTTATGCATAAATTGATTAATGGATGATGATGATGATATGATATTAACTACATACTCTTATCTTCATATTCTATATTCTGCTCAGATGATTTTTATTTTTCAATCTTATCCATGTTTCCTTGTTAAATTTATAAAGATTTATCCTATCATAAATAGAAATAGGATTGAAGACTTAGATAAAAGTGTTAAGCATATTGGGTTGTCATTTAGCCAATTTAATACTATCATTAGTTAACTTTTGGCTTTGTGGATAATTCTAAGCCACCATAACCATAATTCCTAATGAATTCATAATTCATTCCACAGTAGAATTGTAGAGTTGGAAGGGGCTTTTTTGACTATTTAATCCAATCTGTTTAGCACTGGAATAGAAATTAAAGCATTCTCTTCATGCTCATCCGTTATTTTATGTCCTTTGCTATGGAATAGTAGAAACCTATCTCCCCTAATCTTCTTTTCTCAGTATATCCAGTTTCTTCTAGTTTTTCCATGGACTATATAAACATAAGAATATAATAAGGAAAGAAAAAAGAAATATATAACAGAAATGACTTCCAATCTTTCCCAACTAGTATAACAAATTTAGTAATTCTTCACTCTCCTTAAAGTTATAAATACTTTTTTCTTTAACCATATCCTCTCTCTTATCTATAAATACATCCATAAAATATCATCTTTTAAGTCCTGGTGTGAGCAGAAAATCCAAAGAGAAGTAACAACATATCTTATTTTATTCTTGATCAAATAAACCAACTTTATATTTCTGTTTTTATTCCTAACAGTCTTAATTTTTTAGTTGTTCCAATATTGTCATACAATTTGATTTCTGTTCATTTCTTCTTTGTCCATCGCAAGGCCATTTTTAATAACCTAAAGTGCAATTCATTTGGCTCTAGGGATTTAAAGTCTTATAAACATATCACTGGAACCCAACAGATTATATCCCAGAGTTTTGAAGGAGCTGGCAGATGTTATCTCAGAACCATTGCATCATATCTTTCAAAAATCCTGAAGCACTGGGGAAATACCTGAGGATTGGAAAAGGGATGATATGGTTCCTATCTTCAAGAAAGGGGGAAAAAACGTATTATGTTATTTGAGGGAAATAGAGAGGGGACACTGAATGTATTGAGTTGAGTTGTTTATATATGCTTTTACTTTTGAATGTTTGATTACCCAAACACCACGGTGTGTCCTGAGTACCTTTTCTTAAGAATTAAAAAAACCAATAAAATATGTTTAAAAAAAAAAAGAAAGGGGGAAAAAACAGACCCAGGAAATCAGTCTAACATCAATACCTGGGAAGATCCTGGAAAAGATAATCAAAAAACAGATCTGCGAATAACTAGAAGCAAACAAAGTTATAACTAGCAGCCAGCATGGGTTTGTTAAAAACAGATCATGCCAAACGAATCTTATTTCATTCTTTGATAAAGTGACTAAATTAGTAGACCAGCAAAATGCTGTGGACCCAGTATACTTAGATTTCAGTAAGGCATTTGACAAAGTAGACCACAAACTGCTGCTTAGTAAGCTAGAAAAAGGTGGGATAGACAACAACACCATCAGATGGATCTGTAGCTGTGACAAATCATACTCAGCGAGTAGTCCTCAGTGGTACTACATCCACACGGAGAGAAGTAAGCAGTGGGGTACCACAAAGCTCCGTCTTAGGCCCAGTACTCTTCAATATCTTCATTAATAACTTAGACAAGGGAATAGAAGGGGAACTCATCAAATTTGCAGATGACACTAAACTGGCAGGAATAGCCAACACCCCAGAAGACAAACACAGGATCCAAAGAGATCATGACAAACTTGAGCAATGGGCCCTATCCAACAAAATGAATTTTAATGTGGAGAAAAGCAAAGTTTTACCTTTAGGCAGGAAAAATCAAAGGTATAAGTACAGATTAGGTGAGACCTGGCTCAAAAGCAGTAACTGCAAGAGGGACCTTGGAGTCCTAGTGGACGATCACTTGACTATGAGCCAGCAGTGTGCAGCAGCCGCCAAAAGAGCTAATACATTCCTGGGTTGTATAAACAGAGGCATAGAATCAAAATCATGCAAAGTATTAGTATCGCTTTAAAAAACCCTAGTAAGACCACACCTGGAATATTGCAACCAATTTTGGTCACCATATTACAAAAAAGATGTTGAGGCTTTGGAAAAAGTTCAGAGAAGAGCAACTAAAATTATCAAAGACCTGGAGACTAAAACATATGAAGAACGGCTGCAGGACTTGGGTTTGGCTAGTCTAAAGAAAAGAAGAAAGAGGGGTGACATGATAGCAGTGTTCCAGTATTTGAGGGACTGCCACAAAGAAGAGGGCATCAAACTAGTCTCCAAAGCACCAGAGGGCAGGACAAGAAACAATGGTTGGAAACTGACCAAAGAGAGAAGCAACCTGGAATTAAGGAGAAAGTTCCTAACAGTGAGGATAATTAACCAGTGGAACATCTTGCCTTCAGAAATCGTGGGCACTCCATCACTGGAGGTTTTTAAAAAGAGGCTAGAGCTTCTACTTTTTCAAATAAGTATTCTTTACTGACTAGTATCAAATCAAAAATAGTTGATCCTTTGGCACCTTTCTACACCTCTAAAACCCAAAAATCATCAGCAAAAAAGTCAAGAATTTTCTGGAAGGACTATATGACAGACTATATGACTCCTCTATTTTTTATTGCTTTCATTATTTTGAGCAAATTGTGTCCTTTGCTAGACAAGAGGATTCTGTTATTCCTATTACATCATATTTAGTTTTTCTACAATAAAATAGACGGCAAAAATGACAAAAAACAATCAGCATCAGTTCCAAGAATAATATGTGGAGTTACTTCTGAGTAGTTACTTTATTGTTCTTCACCTACAGACAGAATCTTGCCAAACTAAAGCAATTTCCTGCATAACTATAAATATATTCTGTGAACTGCTAGGGAGGGCCGTCTTTGCCCTCTTCCTGCCTACCAGACATTCCAAGTTCTGCTGTTTCTTTGCCCTGTAGGAGGCAGCCCTTCTCTCCTGGGACTCCAGAACATTTTGCCATTTATATGTATACATTCGAACTAGACTATGATATTTCTCTGTGTCATATATGTGTGTGTATGTGGGTATATGCATAAAGGTATTTTTTGAGAGCTGAATGCAATGACATTTTATTTTAATATATGCTGATTAGTGTACATTTAAAGTCACAGTAAAGTTTTTATTCTATTCTGTTTTGTTCTGTTCTGTTCTATTCTATCACAGTCAGGAAGCAAAAAGAAATGAATTCACATAACACAATGGAGATTCACTCATCCTTTCCAAAGGCCTTTGCAAAGAGCTAGGTCTTCAGAGCCCATAAAATATAAATGGGGGTGGGTATCTGAACGTGGAGGGGTGGCCCTCATTCTAGAGGGCAAATGTTATTACAGAGAAGTCATGCTTCTATGGTCCATATAGATGTCATTGTTTAATTGAAGGATCCCGGAACACACCAAACAGATCAAACTGATCAGGCAAATACTATGGGAGATAGAAGGTCCCTAAAATAACCAATCACTACACTATAATATAGTTCATCCTTTTTGAAAAGCAATGAGTCAAGCTAAAGGAGATATTTATTCATATACACATACACACACACTTTGTCTATTTAGTTTTAAATTTACACTATTAATAATTGCAATTCATATTTTCTAGGTAATATTCATCCATGACGTTTCTTCCACTTACCGAGTGCCAATCCTTTTGGAAGAACAAGGCATAATTAAATACTTTAAAGAGAGGCTAAGCCTACCAATTGACGATCAACCAAGTCACCTTCTTTTCAAATGGAAAAAAATTGCAGATAGGTACATTTCTTTGTTTCTTAACTTGATTTTTCTATTTCCCTTGTATCATATTTGCACCAGAAAATCTTTTTGCAAGAAACATTTATCAGGCCCCAGGTTTTTCAGAGTTGTTTGTTTGTTTCAGTGTTTTTGTAAATAATATATAAGCTGGTAAGATGGCATAATAAGAAAGTATTTGCAGAATCTTTTGATATTACATATTATGTTACAATTCTGATGGCGCTAAAATGCAAACTTTTTACCCAAAAGGTTTCCATAGAAAATTCTGAATATGAATATATATATAATTGATTTTTTACAATAACAATCTTTAGTGCTTAGTAAACAGTCTGGGTTCATATATTTGAAAAACAATAATAATTAATTTTTATAATTCCATAATCAATATATTAATTAATGATATATTTCCTTGATCTCTTCTTCCAGTAGTATTCTCTTTTTGTCAACATTAAACAAATGTAGTTCTTAATACTTTCGATACATACAAGGTTGGATAAAAACATTTTTCTTGTGTTTGAACAAATAACAGTAACATCAGCATATAACATCTTTTCTGATCAGCTTATGTTTCAATTGTATTTATAAAAGTCATCTTATTAAGTCACTATATGTCCTGTTTTTAAGATTCTTATTTAAGCTTAATTTCCCCTCTGTGTTCAAATCATTCTTATCAGTCATAATTTTCCAAAGTTAATTACCTTTAAATATCCAAACTTTTCATTCACATACACCATCCCAATATTTTTACATTTCATATATTATAAAATGTATTATACTACTTGTATATCTTATCCCTCTGACCGTAGGGCCCCTTTATATCCATAATTTATCTATTCTTTTAACCATATTCAAACAAGTGTTTAATCATATAGTACTCCAGCTGGTAAGTTAAATGAAATCTCTTGAATCTAACTCTAGCCTTCTTTTTTTGCCAAGTAGTTTTCAAAGTCAGTGTGTTCAGCTTGCCAGGGGGTTCTTCCTGTATTTTTGTGAATGTTGTTGGGAATAGGAAAGACAAGTTAGGTAGGATGTGCATTTTTTGTCTCCCAAACTCTAATGATTCTCTTGGCTGCTCTATAATTCATTTTGTTAGATCTTCTTTCTTATCTTCAGGTCTATTTTGAAGCCCTGAAAAATAAAGTATCTTTTCCATTTCCATTGTTGTGGCAAAATCGTGCAGGTTTTCTTTTGTTTGTATTAAGCTGTAGTTCTCTTCATTTGTAACTTCCCTGTTTGGGTCACTGTCCTCTGGTTTATGTTCTGTTATCTGGTTCATTTGTTCATTCTTTGTCGTCATTGTCTGAAAGTTTTTTAATTGTAAATTTAGATGACAGATGTGCTCATTTATGTCGTCAAAGTTATTTTTAATCTCATCATGATTTGAAACCATTGTCATTTGAATATATTGCACCATTGCATACATTTCCTCCTGGAAAATATTTGCCTTGTCTTGGAGTGTTGCTCCTGCAGATCTCTGTTGTTCTAGGCTGGGGCCTTCAGAAGGAGATACTAGTTTTGGTTTCCTGCCGCTTTTAGATAGGTATGCAACATCCATTTTATCTCCCCTCCAGATAGTCTTTCACCGGTACCATTGTCTCATAACTAGCCTTGTCAAACCAGCCAATCTTAAAGTCCAAAAAACCAAATCTTATATAGTTCTTATCTTTATATATGGTTTTTATAATCCAATACATTTAAAATTGTGAAGGCACCACTAAAAGCAGTATTTTATAACAGTTCTTCTAATCAGGAGTCTTAAAATTATCAGCCAGCCAAAGTTGCAGTCCAGAATATTTAACCTTCTAAGAGCTTGCCAATAAATTCCCCTCTAGAAGATTAGCCAAAAGTCAAGGATTTTTCTTTTTCTGCAAACAATTCTTGAACTTAGAGATCACAGCTCAGTAAGTGTTTATAATCCCAGAAGGTCAGCAGTTTTTAAAACAAATATAATTCTCACTCTGTAGTAGATGGCCCAGTATATTTTCTATTTCCTCTATTCCCAGCTGTTTTCTATTTATCTAGAAGTCACTGAGGTTCAAATGAACAAGTTGTTCTTTATTTCTGGGCATCTTGCCAATTTCTGAGTCAATGCAGCTGCTGTTCTATGTTCTAATTCTCCACTAGATGTCAATAGCTTTTTATTTTCCAACTTTTAAAACAAATAATTATTTTCTTGTATTTTCATCAATACTCTTTCAGATGTGAAATCTTAACAGTTTTCATCATTTTCAGATTTATCCAGACTGTAGTATTATTGACTTAATTTCAATATATTTCTGCCCCCCATAAAAATTAAATTGCCGCTTCCGTCTATTTAAGGGTGAGGGTGCGGTCCCCTCCCTTCTCACTTTCGGAGGATTTTTTGCTTCTTGGGGATCTTTTCCAGGAAGTCAGTTACAAAATAGAAGAGAGAAGATCGATATTCTCACCCAGTTCCAAGTGTGCTGTCCATAGTTGTTCTGGTTAGTGGTTTTGGACTTTGGCTGCCGGTAACTTGGGCTAGTCACCGAGGTGTAGCTAGCCTTTCTCCTGTCTGATTAGAGGGCTTCTCATGGATCAAACGAATCGACCGCCTTTGTTCTGCGATCATTGGGGAGCTCTCTTTCTTTGCTACCTCTCTGGGGTGACTTTAGACCCATTTAGGGTCCCCTGGCAGGGTGAAACAGACATGGGGCGCGGAGCCCCGCAATCCCTCAGCTGTGTTGCTATGACGCAGGACCGGAAGTCGGTCCAGTGATTTTTCTCTCACCTGTGGTGAACATTAGAATCTATGATAAGGTAGCTGAAAAATAACCCTTTCCCACGATGTTGCATCATGCACTAATGAGTTTCATTGTAAGAACAAGGCGAGCTCAGTGCAAAAATAAATGGAGATTGAAACTATGCAGTTGTAGCTCAAGGTACTTCAATTTTGTCATCAGTTTCATTTCCAAAGCTCTCACCTCTTCTTTTCAGTCAGAAATGTTGAAACAAGAGCATTTTGTTAAAGCAAGGAGCAAAAATCTGTGCTTGAACTTAAAACACTTACAAAAGTCATTTCATCCCTCATAAAAGGAAAGAAAATTCCCCTATGCTTGACATTTTGCATGGCTCTACCTATGCTGAAGAAAATGGAGGGAAATAATTAAAATATTAATTTTGCTTGTTTATTTTCTTTGAGCTATTGAGAGGGACCTGCAAAGATGTCACACACTATCATTTTAGTTGAGGGATTACCTCTCCCAGGTAACATCTGCCCATCCCATTATGTCCGGCAGGAGAGCCATGCTCTGGATCCCATCTACTAGATCAGTGGTGGTGAACCTATGGCACGCGTGCCAGAGATGGCACTCAGAGCCCTATCTGTGGCACATGTGCCATACCCCGGAGATGGCGAGGGACTGGCCCTCGCCGCCCTGGCCCCACCCACCCAGTCTGCCATGACCACCGTGGCCATGCCTACCCGGCACCTGGTGATAAATAAGTGGGTTTTGGGTTGCAGTTTGGGCACTGGGTCTCTAAAAGGTTCACCATCACTGTACTAGATGGTGTTTCTCAATCTTGGCAGCTTTAAGATGTGTGGACTTCAACCCCCAGAATTTCCCAGCCAGGCATTCCCCAGAAACACTGTGCTAGGGATTGCCACCTGGTGGAATCTAGGAATGGAGCCTTTTCTCTTGTGGGATATCATTCTTCCCTTCCAGAAGATCAGACTGGCCCCACCCCTACTGACTTTTCATAACGCCTCAAAGAGATACCTTTGCAACCAGGCTTGAGGATTCAGGTGTACATTGCTGATAGTTTACCGTATATATTTTGGCTGCCAATTATGTTGTTTGGTTTTATATGGTTTTTAATGTTTTTTTTCTTTTCAAATTATGCCTTATTACATTCTCCAAAGAATAAAATATACAAAAAGAAAAAAATGGAAAAAAAATGCTTCTAGGTTGTATTCATATTTCTTTTTAACCGTTATAAGCTGCTCAGAGTCATGTATTTGGAATGGGTGGCTATATAAATTGAAATAATAATTAATAATGAATAGTTTCCTACCATCATCAAAAGCTCATAAGACTAAGGGTGAGGTACAAATTCTATCAATTAAGAGATAGAGCCCCTGCATCAGAAAATAATCCAAAAATCTACATTTTTATAGCAAAAATAAATTAATTCATTTCTTCAAAACATCTAACTAGTGTGTAAATCTTGTGTGGAGTTTCTCTTAATGTAATTTCTCTTTGGTATGTTATTCTCAACTGCCCTCTTTTCTTTTCTCTTGACTCATAATAAATAACTTCAGCTTCTTATCTGGAGAGGTGTAAATTATTGCAGTTGAGCATAATCTTATTTAATAATAAATTAGCCATTGAGCCATTTATAGTTGTTCAGGGCTTTCATTCCTTAAGATGGTTTGAGTAAATTCAGAGGAAAAGGAAATTCAAATGGTGCAGCAATACATAGAATAAACTGGAAGGTTTTTGTGCTTTAAAAATATTTCAAGCTTCTGTTATTTTGTCTTTTTAACTTGGAGAGTGAACCTTAATTATAACACAATTGCTAGCAATCTGTTTTTGACACTTAAGGACGTGGCTTCCCCTGTTTTAAATACATGCACACACTCACACAAACACACACACTAACTATATCAAATCCAAATTTATAATACTTTAATACCTGCTGAAATATTTGGAAATCTAAATATTATTTGATATTTTATATTGCCAGGTATGAGAGGATGCTAAACAGCTGTTCTGTTGCTCTAGTTGGGAAGTATACAAAACTGAGTGATTGCTACACCTCTATTTTCAAGGCATTAGAGCATTCAGCTATAGCAATTAATCACAAGCTTGATCTAATGGTGAGAATCAATCATTTTTTCCCTTTCATTGTTTCTTGTGTTTTGTAAGCATTGTTCCTAAAGTTTCTTTTTTGAGTAACATGTGCTCTTTAATAATTTTATTGATCTCTTGCACGTTTTCTAAAGTGGTTTACGTATGTGGCTTTGTCCTGAGAGTTGTTATAATAATTTATGTACTGGAATTTCTGAAAGATAAAGAGAATCTCATGTTCCTGAGAAATATTTTATTTCTTGATTAATATTATTTTATTTATTCATTTATAAAATGTACACACTGCCTATCTCACTAAAGTGACTCTGGTCAGTTTAACTGATATATTAATCCTACTCATAATTGTATGCATTAAGATAATGTTTTTACATGTGGGTAAGCAGTGTCAGGTCCACCATCTTCAGCTTGGCACTGCATTGACATCCTGCCATCAAAGAACTAGAGGAGAGGGATGGGAGGAACAAATGGGCAATAAAACTGTATGCATTTTGTGTAGGAATTTGGGAGGTGGGAATGACAGTTGAAGAAAAGCAGATCAACGTGGAACTGGTTCGTTCCAAGGCATCTTCAAGGCTGTTTGCCCTGAGTGTAAAAAGTTACCAGCTCAAACACCTCAATGTTCCCAAAACATCCCAACAGCATTGCATTGGCTAGATTTGGACTTGTCATGGAGGGAACGACAGGCCAGAAGAAAACAGTTTTATGTTGATGCGTGAGAAACTCAGATTCTGCCTGACTTTACTGCAATCAGCATCTCTTAGTAAAAGTACCTTTTACTTTAATAATAATAATAATAATAGTAAAGTTGGAAGGGACCTTGAAGGTCATCTAGTCCAACCTACTGCTCAGGCATGAAACCCTATACCATTTTGGACAAATGGCTGTCCAGTCTCTTCTTAAAAACTTCCAGTGTTGGAGCATTCACCGCTTCTGGAGGCAGGTTGTTCCACTGGTTAACCAAATGGAGTCAAGAGTTTTTCTTCCCTAAGGGATCAGACTGGGGCAGGTCTGACATTGGGTGGAATCTGCAATTGTGGTCAACCTGGAGCGGACATCACTCTATTGTGGGAACCGTGCACACGATGTTGGCTCAAGGGAGTGATCAGGAAGAGAAAAAAATGCTGGGGGGAGGCTTTGCTCAGGCCTCCTTCAGGACTGGATCTCTCTGAGTGGACGGGAGAGGCAGAAAACTGCAGTGACCCGCCAGGTGATTTTTGGATGTCAGGAGAAAGGAAGATTGGGAAAAGATACCCTTTTATTTATGGAAGCTGTGGCAGCTGCCGTCAGGAACAACAAGTGGAGCTGAAAGAACTGGAGGAAGAAGAGATGAGCAGAGAGCATGGCCAAGCTGACTGGATGATGCAGGAAACCATAAAATTCATGCGGGGAGGCGTAGTGGTTAGAATGCAGTACTGCAGGCTACTTCTGTTGACTGCTGGTTGCCAGCAGTTCAGCAATTCGATTCTCACTGGCTCAAGGTTGACTCAGCGTTCCATCCTGAAAAAAGTATCGCCCGGGGCACAGGTGATGAATATCATTTCTGTAGAAAAAGGAAGCCCCGAAAGCCAGCTGAGCATCCATAGCCTCCAGCGATGCTCCACTGCCTGCTTCAAGTGCCGGAAGGAGGGGTACCAGGCTACTGAATGCAAATCCAACCGTCTTGCCCAAAAGGTGACCCCAGGTTCCATCAAGAAGCCTGCTAAACTGCCACCGTGAACCTGTGAGATAGCCCTGGAAGGAGTGGAGGTTGTAGAGTTCATCCCATCTCCCCAGGATGGTGAAATAAGTCCTACTGGCCCAGCGGATGGCCCTGGAGAGAGTGATACTGACTCTGATGACAACAACTTGTTAAGTGGCCCAGTCACCCTGGTGAGTCCTCATTGAACTGGTTGTCCAATCCTTGGGACAAAAAACCAATCTACTGGCCCTTCTGGACTCAGGGTGTACCAGATGTCTAGTCAACCCTGCTGTAAGGACCTGCCCCAGCTGGTCCCTCAGGAAAGTAAAACTCTTGAATCCATGTGGTTGAATCAAAAGAACTTTTACTGAGAGAAATAATAATAATAATAATAATAATAATAATAACAACAACAACAACAACAACAGTAGTAGTAGTAATAGTAGTAGTAGTAAGAGTTGGAAGGGGCCTTGAAGGTCTTATAGTCTAACCTCCTACTCAGGCAGGAAACCCTATACCAGGGCTTTTCAACAGGTGGTATGCGTACCGCTTGTGGTACAATAACAAGTGGCAGGTGGTACGCAGCCCTGCCTAGCCAAGTGTAGTGGGGGAGGGAAAGAGCCAGCGCAGGAAAGGACTTACTGTGAGAGAGTCCTCTGGAGCTGTAGACTGGCTGGGGCGAGGCAAAGGCCCCAGGCTCACTTCTGGCTCACCCTTCCCCATGAGAAAGGAGGAGGAGGGGGGCAGAGACAGGAGAGGCTATAAAAGGAGGCAGTTTGGATGAGAGGGAGAGAGAGAAAAAAGCAGCAGCCTTGGGAGGAGGTGGAGTCAGCTCTAGATGCATCGAAGGGAAAGAAGAAGGAGGAGGAGAGTGGGGAAGAGGAGAGGAGATCAAGCAGGCCGGCCATGCGCCGATCTACAACTGCTATGGCAGAGCCACCTGTGCTGGCAGCAGCAAACAGGCAAGAAATGCACTGGGGGAGGGGTTGCCCTCCAAGAGGAATGAAAAAAGGCAGCAATGGCTGGAGGTGAGGCATGGAGGGAGGGAGATGGAGAGTGGAAGGATTCTTATGTGCTTTTGTGACTTTGAAGTTCTGGGATTTGTGAAATGTGGGATTTGTGTTCTTAAGGAGTTTTTGGCAATTTCTATTTGGCTGATGGCTGATGTCTCGTGTTAGCTTCTATTGCTCTGCTATAGTTAGCTGTAAGTTTTGCTGCAACGGATTTTGAAGTATTTTTCTCCTGAATGGATTTTGCCTGTAGCATTCCTTTACTTATGAATGGAGCCATTTGGGGAGGCTGCCTTAGCTGGTAGCCAATGCTTACTACATCTTTTTTCTTCCTTAAGTGCTGGCTGTGCTTCTTAACTTTCCTTTCTAGCCAGTAGCTAATTCTTAAAGGGAAATGTTCCTTTTTAAGCTAGTTCACTCAGCAGTTTGTCTTTTCTGTCTCTGAAGGCTTTTCCTTGTTTGATGAATTTATGGAAGAGAGAAAATTGGGGGGGGGGGTGTCAAAGTCTTCCTTCAGAAGGAGGTGGGCATGAGAAAGAGGGAGAGAGGGATGGAGGGAAGGAAGTCCCTCCTTAGCACTTGGCCACCAGCAGCCCTGCCATTGACTTTGCTTGTCAAAAGGTTGCAAAATAATAATAATAATAATAATGATGATGATGATGATGATGTTGGAAGGGACCTTGAAGGTCATCGAATCCAACCCCCTGCTCAGGCAGGAACCCTACACCATTTCAGACAAATGGCTGTCCAGTCTCTTCTTAAAAACTTCCAATGTTGGAGCATTCACCACTTCTGGAGGCAGGTTGTTCCATTGGTTAATTGTTCTAACTGTCAGGAAGTTTCTCCTTAGTTTTTTTTTTAAACAAGTTTTATTGGTTTTTTCATTTTACAAACAAGTGTTTAAGAAACAACGTGGTGGCAGGGCAGTCAATTGTCCACAAAACAAAGTCATATTCATAAAGTTCAAATTAAGTCATTAAAAACCTCCTCTTTTTCCCCTCTAATGACATATTATATTCAAATTGATATATTACAATACAACTAAATCAATCATAGCAATCCTCAATAATCTTTCGTCTAAATAGATCTACAAATCCGAATCCTGTATTGAGTTTACCTATTTCACTTACTATGTTCCATATTTCTAATCTAAATACCTAGTTAACACTTCGGAGGTCTCCCCATAACCTTTTCCCTTAACATATTCAATAAGCATTTATTATATCATTTCATCCTTTTTTCTTATTCCTCTTCTATTACAAGTAACTATCAATTCTAATAAGAAAAGAAAATATTAATTCAAATCAGAAAGGGAAAAAAAAAGAAGAGGAAAAAAAAACAAAAAACAAAACAAAGACAAGACAAGACAAAAAGAAAGAAAGAGAAAAAATACCTTTCTATTTCTATTATTCTTTATAATCTAACAATCAATCCCTCAATATCTATATCAGATTTCTTTAACATCCTCCCAAAATTACTGTATCCAAAGCATATTAATACATAGACAAAACAAGTTATTATTAAGTTCAAATCTTAATTAGTTTTTATTCAATCCAATCTCTTATTTAACTGTTTCAAGCCATAAATCAATCCATATCTGATAAGCCTTTTAGACCCATTACCTAAAACCTTAAGTCACATCCTTAAATCTTATTCTAGCTTTCCTTTTATGCCAAACCGGTTTCCATAACAAGGCCTCTATATCAATGAACAAGTCACTCTTTATGCCTTGTAGAATCCTTTGAATCAATCCGAGACGTCCTCTTTTCTGTTGTAGAGGCCTAGCTCCTTTGTAGGTAGTCCCTTGTTGTTTTGAAAAGTCAAATCTCCACATTTGAAACTGTTGAATAGCCGACTCAGTTATATCCAACTTTGTAGATGATAGTTGTTTATCCAAGCTACCATAGTTCTCAGCTTGTTGTATTTGTCTGTCCATTTCTATTGGCTTTAAGGATGTAAGTGAATTACTTACAATCCTTTTTGGTTCCTAAGAGATCTCATCCGTACACATATAAAGTAGAATAAAGTCTTCTTTACCTTTAGTTAGTCCCGCTTCTGTTATTTTTTGGTCTCTAGAAAGCTCAGATAAGGTCTGGGAGTCAATTTGTTAATTCAAGGCAGAATTTCTGTTTTTTATTTCCATAGTAAATTCTTTTATTTGCAAGCATATTTCATCAGTAGCTTCGTAAAGTTTTTCCAGTATAAGTTTATAGTCAAGTTGAACCAAGGGTTGCTCCATTTCAAAAATGATTAGAAACAGTCTGTATCATTTAGTAGAGGCTATATAGAAAATATTTAATCAATGTCCACCCCACCAGTA